GCAGGGCTGCCGGGATTAGAACCAGTGACCATATAGGATCCCAGTGCGTGCAAGGCGAGGACTTTAGCCACTACGCTATTGTGCCAGGTCCAGATTTCACATTTTTCTTCCACTTTACAACTACACAGAATGTGTCTGAATACCACATGAGGCTTCATCTTTTACAATCAGATCTGGTTTTCTTGGATATATAATCATATTTTGATACTGAACTTATCCACCCATGCATATTTCCTAAGGAGCAAAAGTCTTACTTAAAGTAATACCATGGGAGTGGGCCCAGTATGGTGGCCTAGCTGCTAAAGTTCTCACCTTGAATGCGCCGGGATCCCATATGGGCACCGGTTCTAATCCTGGCAACTCCACTTCCCATCCAGCTCCCTGCCTCTGGCCTGGGAAAGCAGTCAAGGATGACCCAAAGCCTTGGGACCCTGCACCATATGGAAGGCCTAAAGGAAGTTCCTGGCTCCTGGCTCTGGATCGGCACAGCACCAGCCGTTGCGCTCACTTGGGGAGTGAATCATCAGATGGAAGATCTTCCTCTCTGTCTCTCCTTTGCTGTATATCTGACTTTGCAATAAAAATACATAAATCTTAAAAATAGCGTGGGGTCAGTGATGTGGTTTAACAAGTTAATCTATCATCTGTAACGTTGATATCCTGGAAGGGTACCATTCCTGGCTGTTCTACCTCGCATTCAATTCACCGTTGATGGCCTGGAAAAACAACTGAGAATGGCCTCAGAACATGGATCCCCCCCACCACCTTGGGAGATGCTGATGAAGTTCCTAGCTCCTGATCAGCCTGGTTCAGCCATGGTCATTGAAGCCATCTGGGAAGCAAACCAGAAGAAGGAAAATCGCTCTCTGTGTGTGTTGTATCTCTTATAAATAAGTCTTTAAAAAAGAAATCCCTTAATGAATGGTGTTAGTTTACACTAAAAATATTACTGAACCCCACCCAAGACTTCTTGAAAAATATTCATATACTAAACCTTAAATAAACTGACCTGTACATTTTTATTATCTTTAGTTACAAGTTAGTTTTAGAAATTGGAAATCCTTTATGGTATTAGAAGAATTGTATGTAACTGCTTTTGCTCATTGTTTATTTTTGAAGTTTCATTTATTTATCTGAAGTTATCCATCCACTGGTTCAGCTCCAAATGACCATATAGCCAGTGTCGGGCCAGAGGAAAGGCAGGAGCCACGAACTCTGTCTGGGAACTCATGTTTGCGTGACACACAACCTAGATTCTTGGGTCTCCCAGGAGCACTAGCAGGAAGATAAGCTGACCTGCTCCTACATTATATTTTTAAATCAGTCAAATCCCATCAAAATTTTGAGTAATATTTGAATGGTCTGTATTTTCTTTTTTTTTTTTTTTGTAATTTATTTTGTTTTATATAACATTTATCTATATCCTGTAATATTGTGAAATTTACTTTCAATGTATTTTCATTTTTACTTATTTTATTTGAAAGGTAGAGAAGTCCAGTGATTTAGTCTCTAAGTGCTTGTAATGGGTAGAGCTGGACCATGCTAAGCCAGAATGCCAGTACTATAGATGGGTGTCAGAGACCCACATACGTGAGCCTTCGCCTGCTGCCACCCATATTGTGCTGTAGCAGCCAGTTGAATTAGAAGTGGGTATGGCACTAGGGCCGGGTCCTCCAGTATAGGACATCTTAATTGCTCTGCTAACTGCTCATCTCCTGTGAGACTTCTTATACAGTGACAATATCGGAGCATCTGTGTAGGGAATAGAGTTTTGCTGATCCCTATTTTAAATTCAAAATTAGTTGTTTGTTGTATATTTTTGAACCTCTAAACATTTTTTGAGAATGATACTCAATTGTGCATAGTGAGAAATGTATATATTTTTATTTTCAGAAGTCTGCAGTGATTGCACACTCAAAATCATTACTGAAAAGTAACTAGGTTTTATCCGACATTCAAATAGTTTAACTTCTAGTAGCCCCAAGAAATTAAAAAACTAGATTTTTTTTGGTGGGAGTTCGGGGGGGAGTTGTTGCTAAGGATTTATTTATTTGAAAAGTAGAGTACGAGACAGAGACAGAGATTCTTCCCTCCACCTGTACACGCCCCAAATGGCCAGAACAATCGGGGCTGGTCCAGGCTAAATCCAGGAGCCTAAAGACTTCACCCATCGCATCTTCTGTGGGTAGCAGGAGCCCCAGAACTTTGACCATCCCATCATTTGCTGCTTCTCTCTCTCTCTCTCTCTCTCTCTCTCTCTCTCTCATTTTCTTTCCTTCCTTCCTTCTTTTTTTAAAGTTTTGTTTATTTGAATGTCAGAGTGGAAAAGGTTTTCTGTCTTCTGGCCCACTACCCAAATGGCCAAAGCAGCCATTTGGACTGGTCCAAAACCAGGACCCAGCAGCTTCATCTGGGCGTTGCACATCTGGGTCCCAAGCACATGGGCAATCCTTCACTGCTTTCCCAGCATATTCACAGGAAGTTCAATGAAAAGTGGAGTGACTGAGTCCCGAACCTTTACTTGTATGGGCTGGTAGTACCATAGGCAGGGTTTTCCCTGCTATGCCACAGTACCCACCCCATCTGCTGCTTTCCAAAGCACATAGGCAAGGAACTAGCCCAGAAACGGGGTGGCTAGGACTCGTCAGCACTGCTCTATGGTCTGCTGGCATTACAAGCACAATTTAACCCTCTGGACCACAGTGCTGGACCCACAGCTACAGGTTTTGAAGACAAAAACATTAAAGCCCATTATTGATAGAGCGAGATATCCAATTGTTTGCAGTGGAACCAGTACAAATTAGCATGCCAAAATATGGCCATCTGCTGGTCTTCCCTATCCCTAAATGACACACCTGTGTACTTACTGTTTTTCTTTCTTCCAAGTGTGTTTTTCTTCAGCTCCTGCCCTTTGCCCACTAGAACTAGAAGCAGACTCAGAACTCAAACCCAGTTATTCTGATATGGAATGCAAGTTTCCAGGGTGACATTTAACCCTAATCCAAATACTTCCCCTTTTTCTGAGACGCAGCCTCACCCATGTGTGTATCTTAGGAAAGTGAGTCTTTGGCAGAGAGAATAAGGAAAATAGATAATTGTTGCTAAATATCTTAGGATCGAAACGAGAGAAAGGGTGTTCCCTGTGGGAGCCTTCCTTTTGGGTGACATCCCTTTAGAAGTTGACACCAGCAGAGTGCTGCGATCTTAGTACTGTCCTGTGCTATCTACATGAGCACTGCCAGGGATGTGTACCAGGCAGTGGCTATAGTATCTGGGTAGAGGGAATATTTAACAACCCCATCTCATCAGTGTGCTTGTCAGGTGCCTCAGGATACAGATGCATGCTCATCCAGCCCTGCTCTGCAAAGCCTGAACATGAGACACTTCCAGGCCTTGGTGATGAAAATAGCATAAAAAGATTTTCCATATTTTTAAGTATTTAACTAGTCCCAAGGGTTGGTTTTATTTTGTTCTCAGTATACTTTGGTTAAGTTCTTGGTTTCAGAATCTTCTTTTTTTTTTAGAGCCCTGTTCTTTCTCAGGCAGGTTGGAATCTGTTTATCACCACCTAGGAGTTTTTGAGATATGATGACAATACCCTCCTTTTTAAAAGAAAAATAATATGTTTATGTGAAAGGCAGAGTTATAGGGCCAGGGGAAAGAGAAAGAACCTTCCATCTGTTGATTCACTCCCCACAAAGCCACAAATCCTAGGACCAACTCAATCCAAAGCCAGGAGTCAGGAGCTTCTTCCAGCTTTCCCAGGTGCATCACCAGGGCTTGAATCAGAGGTGAAGCAGCTGGGCTTGAACTAGTGTCTATGTGGGATACCAGTGCTGCCAAAAGCGGCTTTAATCCACTATGCCACAGCACAAGCCCCAACATGCTGCTCTTAAAAAAACTTTCTATTTATTTATTTATTTACTTTCACTGTACTTGAAAGAGTCTCAAAGGAGTCTTCCATTTTCCAAATGCCTGCAACAGCCAGGACTTGCCCAGGTTGAAGCCAGGAGCCCAGAGCTCAGTCCAGGCTTCCCGTGTGGGTGGCAGGGACCCAGGTACTTGAGGCATCCTGCGCTTCCTCCCAGACTGGGAATCAGCAGGAAGCTGTCAGTGCAAGCAGAGCTAGGACCTGAGATGGGATATGAGGTGAGGGTGTTTCAAGAGGCATCGTCACTCCTGCTCCAAACACCTCCCCTGCTTGAGGTTCTGCTTGTCCCTTTCCCTCTGTTTTTCCTGCTCCTTTTTTTTTTTTTTTCATTCATTTTCTCTAACATACTACTCTGGTTGTAAATCTCAAAGAAATGAATAACACTCCTGTGAAGACTCCCTTCAGTCCCCGCTCCTTCTCCCCTCTGCCAGCACACAGCAGATTGCTGTAGACTTTTGAATGTCACCAACAGACAGCCTTAAGATGGCTTAAGATGGATAATGAAGTCTTTGAAACACAGATGGGCCTCCAAATCAATTTTCTTTTTCTTTCTTAGGATTTCCTTCTGACATGAAGAATTGATACAATTCACATTTTTTCCAGTATCCCTCCTAATGGTACCGGGGGTGGGGGGGCGCCTCTGGTCTGTCTTTGAATGACACGGTCATTGCCAACAGACACTTTGCTGCCTTGAGTCTTTGCTTCGCGGTGGTTGTTTGAGCAGTGAATTCTGCACAGGGAACTCAGCAGCCTTGAACTTGAAGGAGTCACTGTAAATTCTGCATAGAGCACCTGATTTAAAGTAGTACTTGGAATGTACAATCAAAAGAAGTACTTGGAATGTAGCAGGATTTTTACTTTGGAAGCTGTTGGGGGGGCGGGGAGCATTAAAATCACTCTGAAGTCCCCATAGAAGAAAAAAACTAAAAATAGAAAAGGTGTGGAATTGGTTTAGTTTTGTTTCCTAAAATTTGAAAAAAAAAAAAAAAACAGGGGTGGTGCATGCCACAGGAATGACCCCTTGGTTTCTATTTTCATATAACAGTCTTTTTCTATGCTTTGTCTGCAGCGTCAGGCACTAGCCAAGAGGATGTGGGTGACCGCTCTGTGTATGGCGGGGACCATTACTCCACCCTGGGAAGGCTTAACGGCTACCACCCTGCTGGGCAGCGCTCGGAGACCCGGGACTCCAGCTGCCAGACCGAGGACGTGAAGGTCGTGCCACCTTCCGTGAGAAGAATCAGGGCATATAAGGGGCAAGGCATCGCAGCCCAGATGAGCCACTTCTCCGGCTCTTCTGGCAACATGTCTGTGCTGAGTGACTCGGCTGGAGTGGTGTTCCCCTCTCGCCTGGACGGCGATGCTGGCTTCCACAGCCTCCCACGCTCTGCGGTAAGGACGCGCCTTCAGTCACTAGGTGCCTTGGGCCCTGCCGATGAAGTGGATGGCACTTTACCCTACCAGAGGGGTCGTTTACAAGGAGACGAGAACCTGGCTTCTGTGGGAGGGCTCTCTAGGACTGGCATGCTTCTAAGACCCCGATCTGAAGAGTTGCGGCCCTTTGAGAGTGAAAATTTGACGAGTCCTGCGTGTGTGGTCTCTCCCCATGCCACCTACTCCACCAGCATCATCCCAAACGCCACTCTCTCCTCCTCCTCCGAGATCATGGTTCTTCATACTGCTCAGAGTGCAGGGCAGCTAGACGGTAAAATGACCAGCTCATCCCCGTACCTGAAGGTCACTCCCCGTGACCACTTCACCACCAGGCGTGCTGCCAGGGATGGACACCAGCGTCCGGGTGATCACTGGAGTGACCGCTCCCCAACCATCCTTTCCCAAGCCTTTGACACCCAAGGCCCCGGGGTGTCACTCTGTGATCCAGAAGTGCCTCTGGGTAACCCAGCTCATAGGGAAAATGGCTCCCACATCCTACCCTACCACTGTAGAAATAACCTCAGTTTCCCAGGCCACACCCAGGATATGGATGGCAAGAGCGAGTCTAGCTCCTCGGGGGGCAGAGCTTCAGGGCCTGAACACGCTTCTCCGCTGAAGCCACATCCAACCACCCCGGGTCACTCCTCTCCCACCAGTAACGTGAGCAGCTGCAGCCTGGACCAGACATCCAACAGAGAGGACGGCAGCTCGGTGTATTCGGAGGAGCACAACTGCTACCCACTGCGGCGCACAGACTCTGCGCTCGGGTCCAGCCACGTGGGCAGCGGAGCCGATGGCTTCGGGAACCCGAGGCACAGTGTGGTAAACGTTTTCGATGGTGGAAGACCTCCAAGAATCCAAGGTGACCGGCCAAACGACCACGACAAATCCCTTTCGAGAAACATCTCTCTGAGGAAGGCCAAGAAACCTCCCCTACCACCCTCCCGGACAGACTCCCTCCGCAGGGTACCCAAGAAGAACGGCCAGTCTAACGGGCAGGTGCTCAACCAGAGTCTGATCGCCACACTCCAGCACTCGCTGCAGCTGAACCTGCCGCCCGGCCCGGGTGGTGCTGGCGGCGGCAGCTCGCCCTCGCACAGCCCCTGCAGTGACCTGGAAGAGTCGTGGCTGCCACGCTCGCGGAGCCAGAGCACGGTCAGCGCCGGCAGCAGCCTCACCTCCGCCACCACAGCCAACATTTCCTCTATGGGTGGTGCCACACCTGCGCCAAGTGACACGAGCAGCGTCAAGTCCGAGTATGCCGACCCGTGGTGCTACTACATCGACTACACTGGCCTTCAGGAGGACGCGGCTGGCCCCGGAGTGCCCGGAGCCAATGGTCCAGTCCGCCAGGGCCCTGATGGAGCCAGGGCTGCCATGCCACCACCAGGGCCCGGGACTGCAGTCAAACAGAAGGTGCCATCGCCAGAGAAGTGCCACCGGGTCACTTCGCCATCCAGTGGGTATTCCAGCCAGTCCAACACACCCACCACACTCACCCCAGTGCCTGTGTTTCTGAAGTCGGCATCACCAGCCAATGGGAAGGGGAAGGCCAAGCCCAAGGTACCAGAAAGGAAGTCCTCCTTGATCTCATCCATGTCCATTTCCTCCTCGTCCACCTCCCTCTCCTCCAATGCCTCCAATGAGGGCAGTGGCACCGTGAAGCGGCTGGAGCCGGCCCTGGCCTCACCCCCTGCACTGCCGCCTCATCAGGCTGACCAGTCTCTCCTTCTCCCTCCGCCTCCAACCGATGGCTCCCAGGAGCCCCCTTTGCCTCTCTCCCCCATGTTCCCGCCTCCGCCGCCGGAAGCCCTCATGCCCTGCTGCTCCTCAACCTCCTACGGGATCCTCCCTCCACCTCCACCACCACTCAGTCCCCTGCTCCCAGGCACCTCTGCTTCCCTGCCATTGCCCCCACCAGCCCCCCCTCTTGACCCCAAATTCATGAGGGACCCCAGGCCCTCCGGCCGACCTGAGCCCTCCCGGGAGGCCATGAAATCGCCTTCCAGCAGGGAAGAAGGCAGCAGGCCCCCCATACCGCTGATCACCACCGAGGCGCTGCAGATGGTGCAGCTGAGGCCAGTGAGGCGGCACCCCAGCACCAAGGTGGCAGCATCACCCGAGTGCGCAGCTCAGGAACAAGGAACCCCAGCCTCTCCGCCGTACCACTTAAAGCCATCTGCCGTTCTGAAAGCCCGAAATAGCATAAATGAGATGGAGAGCGAAAGCCAGCCTGCCTCTGAGACGAGCTCGCTTCCGACGCCTGCCAGGAGCTCCAGTCTGGGTGACCATGACCAACTAACCGAGCGAGGCGACCCTACACAGCACAGCCCAGGAGCTCTGTACTCCGGAGCGGGCCAGGCAGGGGCTCAGCACGGCCCAGGGCCCACCCCCCTCCCAGACTCTTCTCCCAGCAGGAAGCCGCCCCCTATTTCCAAGAAGCCCAAACTGTTCCTTGTGGTGCCACCTCCGCAGAGAGACTGCGCCGCCCAGCCTGCAGAGAACGTGAGCCCCGCCTTCCCAGCCTCCCCCAGCCCCAGCAGGGCCGAGGAGGGCTCTGTGCACAGCCAAGGAACCGGAGAGATTTCGGGGACCCTTGTCGGCTCTCATGTGCCCAGCCCGGGCAGCTCGCTGGCAGAGACAGGAGCTGCAGGAGTTGTGTGCCCCAGCAAAGTGGAAACTGATGTCCCCATGGTACAGCCCAATTCCTCACCAACTCTCAAGCAGGATGAGCCAGCAGAGAGTAATACAGATGATGGGGGCAACGCGGAGAGCTGCCTCTCTCAACAGGACCAAGAAGGTAAGCCCAGTACCCTGCCCTCTCCCATGCCCTCTGTGGAACTCAGGCGAACCTGGGCTTCTTACCCACGAGATTGCCAACTTGGCATCTTAGGAAATGCAGTGAGACACGCTGAGCTGAAGGAAGAGTTTTCCAAATGATGGGAAGCAGAGAGCAGAGCTGAAGGCTGCAGCAGGCTGCCGATTAAGCGGCGATGAGTAATCTCCCCTCTGCCCAGCGAAGGAATGATACCAGGGAGTTTCAGAGCCTTGCAGCACTGAGTTCTGTGTGTTGGCAGCACAGAATGAGTTCTGGCTCTCAGGTCCCCTCCCTTGGAAACTCTCAAACCTCAGACCCGGAGCGAGCCTGGTGCTTCTCCCGCCAGCCAGCCAGCAGCAGCAGCAGAGAGCAGGGAGCCTTGCATTGGTGAGCTTGGTGAACTCCTCTTTGTGATCTTGTGTTGTTGTCTCCCTACTTCTCTAGCTGTGGTTCCAGATGCCAGCCCATCCTGTGCTGCCTCGGAGATCTTTGACCCCACTAAGGAAGAGGGCAGTGATGAGGTGATGACCCCCAGCCGGCCCAGGACCACCGAAGACCTTTTCGCAGCTATTCACAGGTATCCACTCGCCCCTCTCCCCATCTCCCCAGGACTTAAACCTACTCTGATTCCTTCTAGCTGATTCTCAGCTCGGCTCCTTCCATCACCCAATCCTGACTCATTAACCTTGCTGCTGACGGAAGTGTCTATACTCGTATTCTCATTTCTGGTGTACTTTGTCCTGCTGACATTTAGAATGACACTAGGGACAGAGGCTCGGTGCCATACCTTCTGGCAGGTGCTGATCTTGTTGGCAGGCATGGGGCAGTGTTTACAGGTACTGGCTGAGAGCAGCCAGGGGCTGGGTCCAGGAGGAAGTGTCCCAGCCAGGTCCAGGAAGAGCAGGTGCCCTGTTCTGTGAGCTTCAGGTGCAGCCCAGCTACACAGAACTCCTTTCGAGGAGTGTTGTGGTTCATTCTCTCTCTCATTTTTTTTTTTTTGCATTTTTATGAAAAAATGAATTTGACAGTGTAATTTCTTGGGCTGTTTCAATGTTTCCATAAAAGAGTAGAGTGCTTTTTTTCTTTTTTTCAATAGGAACAGGAGGAAATGTGCTTCTTACTGTGTACCAGCAGTGCCATCTGCTGGCATCAGAAACTGTGGGTTCTTGACACTAGTTAGGGTAAAATATGTAGTTTGACTTGCGGTTTTCTTAAATGGTAAATACGGGTTAGCCTTGAATTTTTAACTTACTGTATTTTTCTGCTTCTGAGCTCCCACAGCAAATATCATTGCACAAACTGATAAGCTTTAAGACATAAATGTATATGCACTTTAAACAGTCATGCCATCTAAACCTTTTGCTTCCTTCTGCGGTCTTTCCCACCGTATTTTCAAATAACTCTCATGAATGCCAAAGTTTTGTTTTTTTTTTTTTTTTTTTTTTTACTTGGTGCTAAATGTGAGTTTCCCTTATCTCTACCCCTTCTGGAGCAAAGTGGCCTAGAAAGTCATTTTATTTTCTGCATAAATAACCTTGTTTCATCAGTGCTTTCCCACTCCTTGGAATGTAACTGAAAAGATTCTTGCATGAGATCAAAAACACAGAGTTGTCTAGAACTCCTCACCGACACAGGCATACCCAACCTGAGGGAGCACCGGGCTGCCAGCTTAGAGTGTTTGTTAGCAATCTCTTTCTTTACCTCGCGGCTCCAGTGCTGATGTAATAAACCCCAAAGGCTATCCCCATCTGTGTGGTTGCACTGGTTTTTTTTTCCCCGTTAGAAATAAAAAGGTGACTGGTTATCCAATTATTGCTCATAACCAGCAGAGAAAAATCATGCTGGATGCAGTTTGAGTGGCACTTCTAGAAGTTTACAGAGATGTTTCTAACTCTAACTATGCTACATGCATAGTAAGCATTCAATAGATAGTTTCTGATTTCAACAAGGCCAATTGGAGTCTGTTAGGGAATTCTTGCATAGCTCAACCTTTTGTTTCATGTGGAATGCATCAAGTAGCTAAATATACAGGAAGGTGTATTTATAATAACAATCCACAGAGATTTGTGTTGCCCGGTTGCTCAGAGTACTGAATAGTTATTCTCAAGAAAACCCAGCTATTACAATGCCACACGACTGCAGACTGCATACTTTTCTTCGTCAACGGTCTCTCTTAGGTATTATTTTGGCAACCTTCTTAAGCCACTGGAAAAGCCCCCGTGGCTGCTGCCATTAGAGGGGTGTGTCTCCTGTAGGAGCTGAGCTCAGCCAGTGTGTGCAAGAGACGAGTGAGTTCAGGCAGGCCTGGGAATGGATTGCAGAGAACGAGCCAGCTAACATGCCAATTTCCATGACAGCAGTGATACCATGTCAGGGCTCACCCAGAGTTCATGGAAAATGAACATTATGAAAAGTGGTACATGGATTTCAAGATTGGATATGCTAAAAGCGGCTTCTGTTGAACTCCATTTTTTTTCTCCCTAAAGTTCTCATATTCTCTCATGAGAATAACTTATATTAGCAGATGTCATAAAAATCCATTAAAGGCGATGACGTTTAGGCCTTCTCAGGTCCTTCAGCATGTCAAGTCATCATGTAAAATAAAGAGTATCTAAACTGAAACAGAATTTTCAAATTTTATAATGCAAATTAATTCACTTCAGATTTAAAGCCAGATGGAAAATGTAGAGCACCAGTTGAGGTGTGAAGTTTTTATATGTATTAAAATAATTAGCTTTCAAGCCAATGTAACTGTTTAGGTCCCTTTTATAGCCATCTTCTTTAGAAATACATGTATCTATATATGTACACATACATATATCTTTGTGTGTGTGTGTGTGTGTGTGTGTGTGTGTAGAAAATGGAAGAGAAAAATCAGTTTATTTTGTTGCAAAAACATTCAGTCTGTGCAGTGTTCACAGACTCTTCATTTTCCATGAAGTTGTTGAAGAGCCCTCATGTGTTTGGGTGTAGAGAACTATAATTTTTAGATTGAATTTTTACTTTACAGGACAGCTGATCTTAGGGAAACACCCATGCTTTTATGAAGTCTCATCTCTTGTCTTCTAATCTATAGTTAAAAGCCATAATTACCATTTAAAGATGCATTTATTTATTTGAACAGCAGAGTCACAGAGAGGAGGAGAGACCCTTCCTCTGCAGGTTCACTTCCTAAGTGACCGCCACAGTTAGGCTGCAGCCAGGAGCCTGGGCAGGCAGCTTAACTATTAGGACAAATGCCTGGCCTCTGATTTCTCCTTTCTGCCTCACTGACTCTGGCTGAACAAGATGCTCCACAGGCAGCCTGCTCCTCTCCCTGATGGGCTCCTCTCCCACCCGCCACGCCTTCCCTCCCATTGTCTTGATTGGTGTGAAGGTCATTGAAGTCAGCCATGACCCGGGAACTGGCGTAGACTGCTCTTGTGTTCAAGGAAAGCTGGGGCTCTGGAAGTTGACCTACAGCCCTGTAAGAGTCAGCTGAGACTGTTTTTATGTCAGGTTCTCTGGAGAAAGGGTAGAGAATGGCCGGTGTATACTTGTTCCATGACCTGGGGTGGAGCATATTTTGGTGCAAGGAAGCTGGGGGCTTTGGCTTAGCTTTCTTATCAGTTCAAGTGCTGGCACCAGATAATTACAGCCTGCTGTTCATTCAGGATCAGCCCAGTGTGGAAAAGGTAGATTATTCAAAAATTTGGAGGCTGGCGTGGCAGTGTGGTGGGTTACTCTTAATCTACCACCATAAGTGTGCCAGTTCAAGTCCCAGCAGCTGAACTCTCATCAGATTATGATGCAAATGCTTGGGCCCCTGCACACAGGTAGGAGCCTGAGGCTTTGGTCTGGTCTGGTTGTAGCTGTTGTGGCCATTTGAAAAGTGAACCAAAGGATGGAAAATTCCTGTCTCAGTGTCCCTGCTTGTCTTTCTAGTTCTGCCTTTTAAATAATCAAAATATAAATCTTAGTAAAAATTGGAAATGTTGCCCTCGGTGAGGGCAAAAATGGATAGAAGAACATGGGCAAATGAGCATTGCAGGTGGTTACGGGCCACGTGGTACAGCTCACTGCAGTGTTTGACCAAGAGTTAAGACTCTGTGTTCAGCAAATGTTACTTGAATAATGACCTGCGAGGCCAGCAGAGAGATAAGGATGTGACCAGATGGGGAGTTAGTATTTACCTGACTGTTATCAAATCGCAGATCCAAAAGGAAAGTCCTTGGGCGCAAAGATTCAGACGAGGAGCACTCCCGAAACCACTCCCCATCTCCGCCCGTGACGCCCACCGGCTCTGCCCCCAGCTTGTCCTCCCCCAAGCAAGTGGGATCCATTCAGAGAAGCGTCCGAAAGAGCAGCACCAGCAGCGACAACTTCAAAGCCTTGCTGCTGAGAAAGGGCAGTCGTTCCGACACGGGCGCCCGCATGTCTGCAGCGGAGATGCTCAAGCACACCGACCCCAGGTTCCAGAGGTCCAGGTCGGAGCCCGCGCCCGACACCCCTGAGAGCCCATCCAGCTGCTCTCCAAGCAAGAACAGAAGGGCTCAAGAGGAGTGGGCCAAGAACGAAGGCCTCATGCCTCGGAGCTTGTCCTTCTCCGGCACCAGGTACGGGCGCAGCAGAGCGCCGCCCTCGGCAGCCAGCAGCAGGTACAGCGTTCGGAACCGGATTCAGAGCAGCCCCATGACCGTCATCTCGGAGGGAGAGGGAGAAGGCCTGGAGATCGCGGACCCCAGAGCTCGCCACCCCCTGGGTACTGCGAAGGGACACTCCTTGGACGGACTGACAGGGGATGCGATGGACCAGGGGGGCCTGGCCCGAGGCGTAGAACCTACAGATGGGACAGCAGGTGCAGAGGGTGGGGGTCCACCAGATCGGCGGGAGGAGAGTTAGGGAGAACCCCCTTGGTGAGGTGGGAGGCGAGCAGTGAAGACTCAGCTCTGGAAAGCCTGTGGATCCTTTCCTGCCTTGCCAGGAAGGGCTTAGACTCAGTGCCCCAGGCCTGTGCCTGGGAAAGGTTCATTTAAGATTCACTGGCCACTTGCCCTGTGGCTTAAAAGCAAGTAGAAGCTTCAACTTCAGAAAGTGCTTCCTGGGGAAGATTTTTGTTTGTTTGTTTGTTTTGGTAGTTGTATTTGCTAAAATGATGAGGGGTCTACGTGGGAATGTGTGTGCATTTTGAACACTTTTTGTATTTTTAAGAAACACACACAGCATGATGGAAATAGGAGCAAGAATGTCCAAGTACAGGTAGGTAGAGTAAGGGAGTCTTTGGGCTAGCTGGTGACGGCTTCCGAAGTCCTGTAAGGATGGGGGAGCTAAGGTAGAAATGAGTGCTAAGAAAAGGGTGACAGGTTGCCTGGCTCTTGGTGCACAGGGCATGTGGCTGTTAGCGCAGCAGGCTGCAGTGGCTGGGCCGGCCACCGGAATGCAGAGAAGTTGCAATGGGGCCAACAGGTCTGTTCAGGTACTTTTTCTCTGGAGGAAAGGGTTTTGTTTCTTTTCTTTCTCTCTCTTTTTTATTTTATTTTTTTTGTATAAATGACAAACATGGAAGTGGCAGTGCGGAAACTTTGTGTCTGCTGCTGTGCAGCCACAGGTGCTGGACTTGTAGTCTGACCTTCAGAAGAGTGAGTGATTTTTAAATGCATTTCCCTATGGAGTAGCAGCCGAGATCATCTTTGGGAAGTGAATGGATAGTATAGACACTGTGGGGAGGAAACTAAGGGAGGAGGGCTGAGTGAGATACTGCTAGAAGTTGTTTTCTGCTTTTTGAATAAAATTATCTTTCAGAATTGAAATTGAAAACTTGCACTATCAAACTGAACTGTGGGTGGGACTTCCCTTTTATGACAGTTTTTTACTCGAGTTTAAACTCCATTTCTTATCGCTTGAAATGCCAACATTTGCTAACTTTTGGATATCTTTTTGGTTACACCAAAGAAGAAATATGGCTATTTTTTTCCTTCAGCTGCCTGCAGTTTTCATGACCTAACTTTAGAAAGGTTTATCAAAAAATCTTATATATTATCATACTTGGAGAATGCTGAATAGATCTTGTTAGTCAAATGAACTGATAGAATTTGGCAGGGCTTGGCTATTAATTAGCCCTGGGAAATGGGTTGTTAGATTAAAAAGGGTTTTTTGTTTTTTTGCATCACTTTGTGTGTTTTTATATTGTTTATACATAATTGAATTGCTAATTACCTTCTGATCTTCTCCAAGCAGAATTGCAACACTTGTAGACGGGGAGAAAAGTGTGTAAAGTATTTATTTTAATGTAATGTTCTTGCGCGTCTCCTCCCCATGCTCCCTCCCTCCCTCCCAACCTCTGTATGCCTAGACTCCTTCATTTGTGACTTCAATAAAGCAAAAGCTTGTCCTCTTCTTTAGAAACCTGGATGACACTACTGAGCTTTTTAGTATAAATCAGGTGCATCTGCCGATTGTGTGTGCCCCCTCTCGCTGTCTTTTGATATAAAAACCATCCTTTGAAAGTTGGCCGCCCAAAATGCTTGTAAAGTAAGACTTCAGTATGTTTTAGACATGACTTTGAGGCAGAAAAGAGAGCTAAAGGATCAAGACTCTCTGAAGAGAACAATATACTCGCAGAAGCAGAGCTCAAGAGCTGACAGTTGGCCAAAGGCAGAAGGACTCGGTATCACTTGGTGCCACTGTCTGCTTCTGCCTTGGGTTCAACGGTCATTTCTTCTGCATGTAGAAAAATAATGTTGGTTTTGGGGTGTTAGATCTTCTCTTCATTACCGAATAACTGATTGGAATGTACGTGGACATCCAAGATCTTTAAGTGAATATATGAATCATTAATTTAAAGGTAAGACAAGCAAAGTCAAGACTAATTCAAAGACTATAGAAGATCCCCCTTTTAAAAGAAAAGTATATATTAGTTTCTAAATTTGCTTTGAATAAATCATTATAAAGTAAATAGCTGGAACTTCCTGTTGTCTGTACATGTATTTTTGGTACGTTGAGGTAGATAGGTTATTTTGTCTGTGTGTGCAGATTTATTGCCTTGCTAGATACAAGCAATAGCAGTGAAGACCAGAAGGAGCCTGTGCAAAAGGAAATAGCAAAAAACAACTCCAAAGGATGGCCTAAAGGGTATTCGAATATGATGCTGACTAAAATGGTGATGGGAAGTGTGAGGAATGGAGGGAATCTAGCGAAGCCAGAATCCAGCCTCATCCCTGAGACGTACCCTCCCTGCACCCTCACTGCTAAGTTCCTCCCTGGGAGCTTGCTTAGAGGCAACATTGCATTCACAGTCTTCGTAAGGGGATGCTTGATGACCCTCCTAGTCCCCGTAGACATAGACAGAAGCCTCAGGGCTGGATTCCTTCCACTTTATTTTTGCCGAGAGTTGGGAAACACATGACCACATGGTCTGCCAGTTGAAAGCAGCCCCTGTTAGGCCTGGTTTCTGCCCTCCTCCTGTTTAACTGATACCCGTCACCTTTCATGGAGTGACGAGAGGATATGCACTTGGGCAATTCCAATACCAAGGAGTGAAAGGGAGGAATGTCTGAATCATTCTTATTCTGTATTCAGGGCATCCTAAAAGGACACAGGGAAGCACTGGACTCAGTTTGCTGATTCTGGCTTAACGCACATCTGGCCTCCATGTGAGTAATTTTTTCCTATTGCTGAGATCCCATCACAAAATGACCACAAAGGGATCATTTACTTTGGCAGGTCCTAGAATATCGTAGTTGGGAAATGATGTTTTGTTTCTTAAGTTCAATATGGACCTGTCCCTTGAGGTCTGTTTTCCTGTAATAAGGAACTTGGTTACTATAATAAAGTTCCTTAACAGGAACCTGTTTGTTCTACACTACCTTCCACAGAGGCCACAGGACAGGACCAGAGCAGTGCACGTCATTTATTTAGCAATGAGAAAAAAGATATCATTGAGCAGCTTAAAACGGTTAAAAAAAAAAACATAGATAATTAACCTGCAAAGTACCAACATCAAACTAGAGGAGGACCACTCTGGGCCCTGGCAAATCCTGCAAGATCCCACGTATACCCATCACCAACAAAAGGCCTAAACATGTTCAGGCTGACAAAGTAGTCAAACTAGACCAAATGCTTACAGCCTCCCAGTCCCCACCAGGACAAAGAGATCTGGTTTTAGCTGATGCAACATGGGCAGGGGTCCAGAAACTTCAGGCGACTTGTTTTCCTTTTTTAGATGCCTGGCCCTTCTTGTGGCTTCCTCCTGTTTCTCTCTAGAATGCACTTGTCGCTGGATGAAGATCAGTCTCACAACCTCAGAGGCACAGGTAAAGGACAGAAGCCATGTTCCACGGGTAGCTGAGGAGAAGGGAACCAGGTCTGTTGCTGGCATCTGAAGTCATTGTGCCGGGCCTCAGTTTGGCTGTCTCCTCAGGCCCAATGGGTAAGTTAATGTTCACTCACTTTGCATCTTAGGGCCAGAACTGTCATAGCAAGGTACCAATTGCTGCTTGAGTAGGTGGTAGGAGAGAGACTATGATGAAGGGGTTTCCCAGGCAAGGAGAAGTCACAGAGGATAGTTCAAGTGGAGAGATAGCATGGCAAAGGCACAGAGACAGACTGTCTAGTGGAAGCTATATTCCTCAATGAGGAAGTCTCTAGAAAACATACTGGGACCTGAGGCAGCAAAGATGCTTGAGAAGAAGAGGCTAGAGAGTCTGGGGTGTCATCCCAAATGTTTGGGCATGTTTCTAAGAAAGGGAATGATGTAATAAGGCTTGGTTATTGGACCTCTTCTTAAGCTATACTGTCTGTTGGAGATTTCGTGTAATTCCATGTTACAAAATAAATTGATACATACCAATAACTTCTAAATATCTCTTATCCTGCCAAATATCTTTTATCACCATGAGCTCAAGGTTAGTCTATCACCACTTACTCAAAATCTGCATTGGGAGGTGTTCCAAATTTAAGTTTCTTCTCCTTTGTTACTTAATGGTCTTACCACTCACAAAATGACTCAGACCCGCAGTCGAGGGTCATACTATGACCTCTTTTTCATCCTGCATCCATAAGCAAGTCACATCAGCCATCCTGTCAAGATATTGCACATAAACAATCACTGCTTATCAGTTAGTTCCATTCCTACCTCTCATGTCCAAACCATTACCTGTTGACTCATCCACTGGAAAAAAAAAAATCTCCCAATTAGCTTCCCTCCCTTAGCTGCATCTTTAGTCACTCACAACGCAGCATATAAAATGCGTTCTTAAAAATAATTCCAGCAGTCTTCCATTTGAATCAAAGTATGACTCACAGAAAGCCTTTTAAAAAAAAGATTATTTGCTTGAAAGGCAGAGTGAGTGAGAAAGAGATCTTCTATTCACTTGTTTGCTTCCCAAATGGTCACAGTTGCCCAGGTTGGTCCACACTGAAGCCAGGAGCCTGGAACTCCATCAGCGACTCTCACGTCGGTGTCAGGGACCCAAGTGTTTGTGCCGTTGTCTGCTACTTTCCCACGCTCAATAGCAGGGAACTGGATCGAATGTGGGGCAGCCCAGGACTAGAACTAGGTCTCTGAGATGGTATTATGCACAGCTTAACCCTTTGTGCCACACACCATCCCCTATATTTATAATCTGAACTCGTATGCTCCTAGATCTATGGGGGTGGAGCAGGGAGTAAGACTAATGGCATTGGGGTTTCAGGTTTCTGGGTAGGAGATGTTAACAGAGACCTCAACGGAGCAAACGAATGAGTTTGTTCTTTCCACTACTCGTTGCGTTCCCTTGTGCCAGTTTACTGTTGCATCTGAAGCTTGTAATAACTGGGCTACCTTTGTATGCCAGCGATTGTCTATGCAGCACATTCAGCAGGAGTGGGAGCCTGTAACGTACCAGATGGTGATTAACTCAGTCTCAAA